CCGTGTCTGCGTGGGTTTCCTCCGGATGCTCCGGTTTCCTCCCACAGTCCAAAGATGTGCAGGCTAGGTGGGTTGGCCATGCTAAATTGCCCATAGTTTTCAGGGATGTGTAGATTAGGTGGCTTATAGGGAGATGGGTCTGGGTGAGATGCTAAGAGGGTCGGAGTGGACTTGTTGGGCTGAAAGGCCTGTTTCCACACTGTGGTAATTCTATGAAATTCTATGATTCTATTCTATGAATGTGTATATTTTGATGCATATTATAGAGACACCAAAATTGGTGGCATAGTAGACAGTGAAGAAAATTTTCTAAAGGGATCTTGATCAAATGGGTCAATGAGCTGAAAAATGGCAGATGGAGCTCAATCTGGATGACTGCGAGATATTGCACTTTGGTACAACAAACAGGGGTAGGACATATACAGTTAATAGTAAGGCCTTGAGTAGTATTGTAGAATAGAGGGATCTAAGGATTCAAGTGCATAATTCTTTTGAAGTTGGTGTCACATATAGACAGGGTGCTTAAAAAGGTGTTTGGCGTGCTTGCCTTCATTGCTCAGTCTTTTGAGTATAGGGTTTGGGAAATCATGTTGTGGCTGTACAGGACATTAGTGAGGCCTCTTCTGGAATGCTGTTATCTGTTCTGGTCGCCCAGTTATAGGAAGGATATTATTAAGCTGGAGAGAGTTCAGCAGAGATTTACCAGGATGTTGCCAGGTATGGAAGGTTTGAGTTATAAAGAAGGGCTGGATAGGCTGGGACTTTTTTCACTAGAGCATAGGAGGTTGTGAGATGACCACATAGAAGTTTATAAAATCATGAAGGGTATAGATAGGGTTAATGATAGTTGTCTTTTCCCTAGGATGGGGGATTTCAATACTACGTGTCACATTTTCAAGGTGAGAGGAAGAGATTTAAAAAAGACATGAGGAGCAAATTTTTTTACACAGAGGGTGGTCCACATGGGGAATAAATGTCCTGAGGAAGTGGTGGATGTGGGTACAATGACAGCATTTAAAAAACATTTGGTTAAGCACATGAATAGGAAAGGTTTGGAGGGATATGGGCCAGGAGCAGGCAGGTGGGATCAGTTTAGTTTGGGATTATGTTCGGCATGGACTGGTTGGATCAAAGGGTCTATTTCTGTACTCTATGACTCTGTGTGATAAAAACAAATTGTTGGAGAACTCAGCAGGTCTACAGCATCTCTGGAAAGAGAAACAGCATTAATCTTTCAAGTCCAAGATGACTGTTTTTCAGTTCTGCATTCTGGGTTTAGTGTACAAAATGATCTTTCTCTGAGTGGAATCATTCATATGTATTTGAATATTTTAAGGTATTAATGTGCTAACTACTTACATTAATTTATAAATGTGGTATATGGCATATCAAAAGTGATCTATTCTTGTTTTAGAATTTCTAAATCATTTATGCAATAATTAAGTGAGCAGTTCCAAAACAACTCTTGAATCTATTAATGGAGCAGATTTGAACTCATATTTATTTCTTAGAACAATGATGATGCCCTGATTGTCAACACCACTCTTTTATCTGTTGAACATTTGTAAGCAATGTTCTTTCTATTTTTTTTTCTTTCCTGTACAATAACTTTAAAGGGCTCACTTTAGTACAGATTGCATTGGGACTTTTGTGTTGCTGCACAGCTCATGCAAGGAACATTGTTTGTAACTTGATTTTCACTCTGTTGATTCAGTAAATCATATGTGTATCCCCAGCATATGAAAGTAACTGATATAAAAATGCCATCTAGGAGTTTATTCTTGACTATAGTATTGCTATTGATATGACATTAATTCTGTGTAAAAAATGATGCATTATAATTATAACAAGTAGACCCTGAATTTGTCAGATTTTTCTTTATTAGAGAAAATATGCTAATAAAAGCAAGTTATAGTGTTTTTAAAAAAGTAACAATCTACAGAAACTGAATAATCCTAAATAATTCATTCACAAGATTATTGACAACATCTTAAAAATCTAAAATGCTGTGCAATATTATGGTGTTGCATGTAAACCTATAGACTGACAAATAAGCTGCATTAAAAACTGAGGGATATACAACTTTGTACTGTTTATATCTAGATTTGTTTTTAACTTTATGATAATGGATATTTATTTAGTAAGCATCAAAAAGTTTTGAAACATCTTTGGTGATACTTGTATGAATGAAAGAAATTGATTAATTAAACATTGAGGACACAAAAAACTGGGAAAAACTGTTAAAAATATCAATTAGTTGCATGGAATAAATTGTCTCATCTCATACGGTTGAGTTATAAATCTTAACATTTGATCAGTTTATAAACAGAAATATGTATACCATGTGACTCAAACTGAGATCACTTAATTTTGCAGTTTGCAAATGTTGATACAAATCATTATGGTGCAAACTGAATGCAGAAGAGGCAGCAGCAATTTTATTTGTTCCCATTTGTGAGGAATACCTTCATAATACTTGATTCATAAGACTGTCTTGCTCATTTGTGAAGTGAAAGGATGTTCCAGGAATTAATTCATTAATCTTTATGGAATTTGCAAACGTGGAATGTAATATTCTTCAACATGGTAATAATCTTTTACCAATCTAAAATATAGAAACGTGTTTTAAGTTAGAAAAATAGCCTATTAAAAATTTTTAGATCAGTGGTAAGTGCGTATCAAAGTATTAGAAGTGGAAGTATTGGAAAGGTAAAATGTAAAACCCTAATCTGATGGAAATGTTTTGTTTCATGTGTGATAAATCAGAGCTCAGGACAGAACAGGCCACTTACTACTTAACCTTTGAAAGCTTTCCTCAATTATGCTAGATTATAACAGATTTGTCCCTCAACTCCATTAAACACTTTTTGTTTCATATCTTTTGACACCCAAACCTTTGTAAGTTTATTTTTAAAATGCAAGTATTTAAATGAAGTGTGTCATTAAAGAGAAAGTTTGCCTATTTAAAAATAAATGCAAGTGAGACAATGGGCAAGATTTTCAGTTATCTGTAGAGTCAGGACCAGAGGTGGCTGGACCTGCAACATGGACCTTGTGCTGCTTGACATCAAGCAAGTTTGGCATCACAAATCTGACACACAGCCATTTTCAAAGAAGCCACAATCAGCAGGTCGGCAATTAAAGGGCCTTTCTTGTGCCAACAATGATTTCCAGTTGGTATGTGAGCTCTGCAAATGAGCTCAAACCAAAGCCACGCAGTCAAATCCAGGCAGTAGCAGCAAAGTCTACAATTGATCCTATGAGGGACGTCCCCAATTGCATCTGCTGTAGCTGCCAAGCCTCACTGCTGCTGACTGCTTGTGAAGCAGTTGTCCCTGTGTGATCACAGACAGGCAGCTGTAGCTGTTATAAACCTCTTCTTTTTTTTAAAAACTGATCTGTTCTTCAGAGGACTCATCTATGTTGAGGAAACAACAGTCTTATTAAATGAGAGACAACAAGGTGCAGGGCTGGATGAACACAGCAGGCCAAGCAGCATCATAGGAGCAGAGAGGCTGACGTTTCGGGCCTAGACCCTTTGAGTACTTTGCATTCATTTTCGCAAAGGAGGAAAAGCACAAAGTGGCACAGTTATATGGAAACCTAAAAACACATTGAAGTGAGAAACTTAATGGATTTAATCCAAGTATAAAATAGTTATGCAGTCAGTAATGGGAATGAAGAATCCAAGTGGTTAGGAGTAGGACTTAAGCAAATGCTCTCGGGCTGAATGTCACAATGGTGGTCCCCACAAAGCTAGACCATGGACCCAGGTTTTCATCATTTTTATTAATGATTTGAATAAAAGATGAGAGTATTATATATCAAAGTTTGCATATGACACTAAGGATACATGGGAAGTATGACTTCATCGAATTTAGATCAGAGACAGCAAATTAATTTATTTTTTAATACTGAGCTGTTGAGGAATATAGGGATTTAGGGATCCATGTATGTAAAACACCAAAAGTTAATGGAAAGATGAAAGTATAATCAGAAAGGTGAATCAAATATTGACTTTTTCAAGATAACACAGTGTGGAGCTGGAGGAACACAGCAGGCCAGGCAGCATCAGAGGAACAGGAA